TGTGAGGGGCTTGAGGAAGAAGGCTGGGGTGAAATTGCCGAGACTGGGCTGGAAACAAGCTTAGTGCTCAGGGAACAAGAATGTTCACTTCTGTATGTGTTGGCGCACGCCTGTAATCCCAGCACTCAGGAGGCTGAGGCAGGAGGATCGCTAGGAGTTTGAGGTCACCCTGGGCTACATAGTGAGTTCAAGGCCAGCCTGAACTATGTGGCGAGACCCTGTCAAAAAAAAAAAAAGTTGAGTGTGGTTGTAGTAAGGGCAGTGAGGGACTGTGCCACTGGGTTTGGGTTTGATGTTTCAACAGAGGGAGTTTAATTTAGGAATTAGTTCCACCGTGTCAGGGGGCTGAACAAGGAAGGGTCCGTGGGAATTATGTGGTGAAAGCGGACACCCATCCCCTGGCCCAGGGAAGAGGCCGGAGGAGGGACCTGGTGCAGCTGTCCCTCAGGTCTGTGTAGGACCTCCGAGAGGCTGGATGTGGGACTTCCACTCACACGGAAGACTGGAACCCACTACCGCCCCCCCGTGGTACAGGGGTAGGAAAGCTGTCCCTGCTTCCGGTTTCTCTAGAATGACCCCTGCTAGCAGAACCTCAGTGGAGCGTCAGCTGGCTGGGCTGCCGAGGCGCAGGTCCGAGCACAGCATGGAAGGTTGGGCGTGGGGCTGGCACAGGAAGAACGGTAGGGGGCGATGAAACAGAAAGGTAGGGAGAGGCAGCATCATTAAAGACAGCGGTGGAAAAAAAAAAAAAGCCAGGCGTGGTGGCGCACGCCTGTAATCCCAGCACTGGGAAGGCTGAGGCACGAGGATCGTTGCGAGTTCGAGACCAGCCTGGGCTACAGAGTGAGCTCAAGGCCAGCCTGAACTGCACGGTGAAACCTTGTCGCAAAAAAAAAAAAAAAAAAAGACAGCGGTGGGGAACTTTTGGCACACACTCTGCAGCGGGCGTGGAGCCCTGTCACCCAGCCAAGGTCTGACGTATTATCAGCATGCATACAACAGCAAAGATCGCATTAATTGTACAAAAAAGTGCCAAATGCAAGCTTTTACCTTTCAGTAAAAAGCTGCTTGTAACATTGAAAGTTCCGTTTTTCTTCTAAGACGTTCATGTATGAGTTTTTTCTCAACTAAACCCTCAGTATTCAGGTTTAATTGCAGTGTTGGCACTTTGCAATAAATAAGTGGGTTTGGGGTTGCACTTTGGGCACTCTGCTTCTAAAAGGTTCGCCATCCCTGGTTTAGGACACTACAGGAGTTTGCACTTCATGCTAAGTAGCTCTGAGGAGATTTGAAGCAGAGGAGTGAGTGAGCGATTTACATTTTAAAGTGGAAGCCCACACCTTTAGCCCACAGACTTTTGGGGGACACGTGCTGCAAGCCACAGCAGCAGGAGAGACCAGTTCTCTGCCTTTATTAATGAAGGCATAAAATCCCTGGGAATGCGCTCAGCATTTGCAGTTTAGCTTTATTTTCACAAGCAGGTAGCTGGTTTACTTTTCAGCTCAGATTTATCTACTTTATTGATGAACTTGCCAAATTAGGTATCTGCTCAGCACAAGGGGAGTTAGCAATGAGCGTTGTGGAAATTAAGGTGGCAACTGCATTGTAGTAACATCACTGAGAATCAAATAGGAATAAAATTACCAAGAATAGGCCAAGGTAGTAATATGGCAAGTCTTTCCAAATTCATCTGTGTGTGTTTGTTTTTCTTTATTTCTGTGTGTATGTGTGTGTGGTGGGGGCGGATATGACAGTCAAAGCCAAGGCCTTACACATGCGAGACTGGCATTCCACCATTGAGCTACACTCCCAGCCCTATTTGATCTCTTCCTTATCAAAATCCCACTAGGGTTTTTTGTAGAAATTGATAAGTTGATCCTAAAATAGTCAGAGAGTCTAGTAGATAGCCAAAATGGTTTGGAAAAAACTAACATTTATTGGGCTTAGACTATGTTTCATTACTCATTAAAAAACAAGAATCTAAATAGTGTGGTATTGACAAAGACAAATGTATAAGTCAACAGAATAGAATAAAAGTCCAAAAACAAACTCACATATGTAATCAATTGATTTTTAAATAAGATGCTAAAATAATTTCATAGGTGAAAGGATAGTTCTCAGCAAATAGGGCTGGAGAAATTAGATATCTTTGCAAAAAAACTATGAACCTAAAGTCTAGACCTTGGGAAAAAATGTGCAAAGCATGTGTTCGGTAAAACTTATAACCAGGCATAGTAGCACATCCCTATAATCCCAGCACTCAGGATGCTGAGGCAGGAGGATTGTTGCAAAGTTCAAGGCTATATAGTGAGTTCAATGCCAGCCTGGACTACAGAGTGAGACCCTGTCTCAAAAACCAACAAACAAAACAAACAAACAAAAAAAGAACTTGTATCTGGAATATATAAAGTTGTATTTACCAGTCCAGTAATGACGCAAACAATCCACTACAATGGGAAAATGTTCAAATAAACACTTATTCAAACATTTAAATAAAATACACAGATCTAAATAAAACACAGAAATGGCCCACAAGCCCATTAGAAGATGTTTAACATGGTTAACCTTCAGGGAAATAAATATAAATTAAAACGTATAGGATGACAGTGAGGCAACACTTCACGCTCAGTCGATGCTGTAATCACAAAGACGGTTGTTAGCAAGTGGGGGCAAGCACGCGAACCGGGTGGAGCCCTTGAACGGTGCCTGTGGGCAGTGAAGCGACATGCTGCTGTGGAAAACGGTTCTGCTGTTCCCCTAAAGATTAACTACGTGTAGAGTCAGCAGATAGTACTAACTCCACTTCTTAGGTGTACATCAAAAGAAATGAAAACAGACGCTCACTCACAAACTTTCACATGCAGCATTACGCAAAAAAGCCAAAAAGCAAAAGCAGCCCAGTGTCCGTCAGGGAGTGAATGGGAGAATAAACGTGGCACATCCAGCCAGCGGGATATTGTCTAAAGGAGTGAAAAGTGGTAAACTACTGAAGCATGCTTTAAAAAAATGGATGAGGCCGGGCGTGGTGGTGCACGCCTGTAATCCCGGCACTCGGGAGGCTGAGGCAGGAGGGTCGCTGTGAGTTCAGACTACAAAATGAGCTCAAGGCCAGCCTGAACTGCACAGCGAGATCCTGTCTCAAAAAGACCAAAAAAAAAAAAAAAAAAAAAAAAAAAGGGATGAACATTGAAAATGTCAATGAAAGAAGCCAATCATAAAAGACTGCATGTATAAAGTGTAATTCTACTTCTATGAAGTGTCCAAATTAGCAACTCTGCAGGAGTGAGAATGGCTGCTAAAAGATACAGGGCTTCTCTCTGAGGTGATAAAAACCCGTGATAATTATATTTTACTCAGTAACGTAGATTATAGTGACGATCGCACAATTCTGAATATACTAAGAAGTCAATGGACTGGGTGGTTTTTCTTGTATATAAGTTGAATATGATTTATATTGTATTGTTATATCTCAATGGTGTTTACAAAGTGCAGTTCCGCCACACATCCTCTAGAATGGGGTGAGATCAAAAAGACCGACAAGCCAGATGTGGTGGTGCACACCTGTAATCCCAGCACTCAGGAGGCTGAGGCAGGAGGATTGCCAGCCTAGGCTACATAGTGAGTTTCAAGGTCAGCCTGAACTACATAGCAAGACCCTGTCTCAAAAAAAAAAAAAAAAAAAAAGAAGAAGAAGAAGAAGAAGAAGAAGAAGAAAAGAAATGGATGAACATTGAATGGATGAACACATAAGACTATGCACTGTATGAGTGCTTTGTATGAAAATTTTCAAATGGCAAAGCTACAGACAGCCCCTCAGTGGTTCCGTGAGTCTAATAATTGAGGGACTGATGGACTTCAGACAGACATCCAGGGATATTTTTGACTGATGGAAGTGTTCTAAAAATGGAGTGCAGTGATAGTTGTGCACTCTATAAATTACTAAATTCATTAGCTCAAAGTAGGGGAGTGTTCTGTTCTGTGAGCTGAAACTCAAAACAACCAGGAGAGACTGGAGGACAGAGCTGTTTCACTCTGCGTAGCACCAATGTTTGACCATTCATAGAAAATACTAAAATTGAACTTTGAAACTTCAAACTGACAGCAAAATATGAGGCAGGAGGATCACAGTGAGTTCAAGGCCAGCCTGAGCTACACAGTGAGACCCTTTTTCTTTTCTTTTTTTTTTACTGAGAATCGAACTCAGGACCTCCCACTTGCCAGGCAGACACTTGCGCCACTGAGCTATATTCCTGGCATGAGACCGTGTCTTAAAAATAATTAGTTAATTATTTTATCTATTATCCTATCACAGCCACGAGGATGTGGGTTTTTCTACTCCTATGCATTTCCCAGACATCTCAAGCTCACCCTGTAATTTTGGACTGCCTTTTGAACTTGGCTATTTGGAAATAGAGTTGGCTGAGCACTTTTCCTGTGTCCCCTTGGCCAGAGTCATACCACACCCGTACTGTAGCACTGTGACCTATGCTACCTCTTGCTTTCTCCCTCTTTCCCATTTGATGTCTTCGTTTCTCTTCCAAATCTTGCTGTCCTTCAGCTAAGTATTTCCCTTTCTATGAGCTGGAAAGCCAGATCAGTACATTTGTTAAAATTCTCAGTAAATTAGAAGGGACTGGGCTAAGTCTGAGGAATTCCTCTTTCATTAAAGCAGGGGTGAATCCCAGCACTTGGGAGGCTGAGGCAGGAGGATCACAGTGAGTTCGAGGCCAGCCTGGGCTACAAAATGAGTTCAAGGCCAGCCTGCAATGCCTAGTGAAGCCCTGTCCCAGAAACAAACACAAGAGCAAAAATACTGAAGCAGTGATGGCAAGCTTTTTAGAGTCTTCAAGACAGAAACAGCCCGCTCTGGCACACATGCCATAGGTTCGCCACCATGAACTAAAGTATATATAGACTTACTTCATTCATTCATTCATTATTTTTAAGACAGGGTCTTGTGCCAGGGATGTAGCTCAGTGGCACAAGCCTGGCAAGTGGAAGGTCCTGAGTTCGATTCCCAGTACAAAAAAAAAAAGATAGGGTTTCACTGTGTAGCTCAGGCTGGCCTTGAACTCACTGTGATCCTCCTGCCTCAGCCTCCCAAGTGCTGGGATTATAGTCAAGTGCCACTTGCTATATAGACTTCATTTATTTATTTATTTATTATTTGTTACTTACTAATTTATTTATTTATTGAGACAGGGTCTCCCTCTGTAGTTCAGCCTGGCCTCGAACTCACCTGTAGCCCACCCTGGCCTCAAACTTGTCCTCCTGCCTCAGCCTCCCAAGTGTGGGGTTACATGTGTGCGCCATAACATCCAACATATATAGACTTTAATACATTGCTTTTTGTTCGGTTTGTTAAAGCTTTTTTTTTCTGCAAAGATAACATTAGCCGACAATAACCTGAGGATAGATGAGGTGTTATTGTGCTGGTGTGTTCTTTCTGGCTTTTGGATACTGTGATTTCAATTCTAGGCCAGTTATACAAAGAGAGAATAAACGGCTCCCTTGCCTCTCCAAAGCCCTTTGCTCCTTGACACTTTTCCTTGATAGCAATGTTCCTTTAAATTAAAATATGAATTGTTCTGTGCCGTATCTTCCCGCAATTCAAGTGTGTGCCTGACAGTTTAAACAGGGACTCAGACACCTGTGCACCCTTGTTCATAGCAGCATTATTCCCAGTAGCTAAAAGGTTGAAGTAACCCACACGTTCATCAGCAGATGAAGGAATAAACAAAAGGTGGGCCGTACATACAGTGGACCATTATTTAGCCTTAAGTAGGAGTGAAATTCTAATACATGCTACAGCATGGGTGAACTCTGAAATCACTACGCTAAGTGAAATAAGCTGGATCTGGAGGTACAAACAGGGTATGGTTCCGCTTATAAAACAGGGACTAGGGAGTAGGAGGGAATGTGAATTATGTTTGAGATGAGAAAACATTTTGGAGATGGGTGGTGGTGATGGTTGCGTGGCATTTAGGAATGCACTTAATACCACTGCACTGTATAGTTAAAAGTAGCCGGGCTTGGTGGTACGCACCTGTAATCCCAGCACTCGGGAGGCTGAGACAGGAGGATCACTTGTGAGTTCCAAACCAGCCTGTGCTACGTAGAGAGACCATCTCAAAAAAAAAGGGATTAAATGGTAAATTTTAATTTATGTATATAGTACCACAGCAGAAAGAAATACAGGTGCTGGGGGTACAGGTGGTAGAGTGCTTATCTAGTAAGCCTTGGGTTTAATCCCCAGAACAACAACCAAAAAGACGCGCTCTTCTGGTTTTAGTAAGGGTTCCGAACTTCATCATGGGGCTCCCAGGCTTCTCTTTGGAAGCAGACTTTGATAGGGATCTCAGTGTGCCTGTCGCAGAGTGGGAAGGGCCTTCCCTGGAGAAACTCAAAGCTTTGTCTGTTCAGAACTAACTAATAAGTTGGTCACTTTGTTTCCACTCCTAGGCTATCCATCCAGGGTACGGCTTTCTGTCAGAAAACATGGAATTTGCTGAACTCTGTAAACAAGAAGGAATCATTTTTATAGGTCCTCCTTCATCAGCAATTAGAGACATGGGTATAAAGAGGTATGAGTTTTGATCTTTTTAAATATAACCACATGAGGGTCAATTGGAATAGCTCTCTTAAGTGTCATTTTTTTAACCCTCTTGTAGGCGTGAGTTACTTATCTGCCATGTGGAATAACTCCATTGAATTACAGAAAGTATTCAATTATAATAATGTAATAGTAATTAGTGTTATAATAGTAGTTAGTAGCTGGGTGTGGTGGCATGCACCTGTAATCCCAGCACTCAGGAGGTTGAGGCAGGAGGATTGCCATGAGTTGGAGGTTACCCTTGGCCACATAACAAGTTTAAGGCTAGCCCGGACTACATATCAGGACCCTGTCTCATAAAAACAAAGCCAACCCTCTCCAGAAGTAATTAGTGTTTCTAGTCAATATATTAATTAGTTTTCTGGACAAAAAATAAGGTGGCATGAGCTACCAATGAAATGAAAAGTAACTAGTGGACACTTCAGTATGGGTATTAGTATTGTATCTGACGGTGGTCCTTCCTCTACCCATGAACCTTTAAAGAATGCTGTTGTAACTTGTTCCCTGTGATGCATTTGTGTTTCTCTCGAATGAAGGAACTTATAGAACTGGGGCCTCTTGGTGTTTCTGTCCGCAGCACGTCCAAGGCCCTCATGGCCGCAGCTGGGGTACCTGTCGTGGAAGGTTACCACGGCGAGGACCAGTCCGAGCAGTGCTTGCGCCAGCACGCGGGGAGGATCGGCTACCCCGTCATGATCAAAGCTGTGCGAGGTGGCGGGGGAAAGGTAAGCTTGGTAGGACGTGTGTTGCCTTTTCAGACTGGTTGTCTGTGTGTTGTGTTGGGCTGTGTTTTGTTTTGTTTTGGGGGCAGGGTCTCACTATGCCGTTCAGGCTGTGTTGGACTGACGGTGTAGCCCAGGCTGGCCTTGAACTCACAGTGCTGCCTCAGCCTCCCGAATGCTAGAGACTGCAGGCGTGCACCACCATGCCCGGCCTGTGTTTACACTGTAACCATAACGATTTTTTCTCTCCCAGGGCATGAGGATTGTTAGATCAGAAAAGGAGTTCCAAGAACAACTGGAATCCGCGCGGAGAGAAGCTAAGAAGGCTTTCAATGACGATGCTGTGCTGATTGAGAAGTTTGTGGACACACCAAGGTAGGCTGAGTTTTTGTCCCCCACTCAGATTTTTAAAAATTGAATTGTGAAAGTAATGCATGCATCTTCGATAAGACATAACGTGCTAGTGGTGCATATGCCAATTAAATTCCCCAGTCTCAGACTCTGATGTAACCACTGATTATAGGGCTTTTTTTTATTATTATAGGATCGTATACTTTCTTCCAACCATTTTCTGTGTAAATCCCAACGTATGTCTATATACGCAGGAAACAAAACACATACAAAAAGCGCAGGAACAGGATTTTACATAATTTTATATATGAATGGGCTGGGGATACAGCTCAGCGGCACAGCGCCTGCCTGGCAAGTGCAAGGTCCTGAGTTCAATTCCCAGTCAAAACCAAAACCAAAACCAAGCAATATTACATATGAATATTATATCGTGTGCTAACACAGTATACACAGCTTTCCATGCCCAGCTCTGCCTCATTCTTCTTGTGGGTGGCTTCCTGGTTCTGTGGTACTACTGATACACCAGTAACCCCATGCAGTATTTCTTATTGATAGAATTTAGAGTTTTAAAGACAAAACAATTCTATTTTTTTGTGGTACTAGGGATTGAACCCAGAGCCTTCACACTGAGGTTACCTCCCCAGCACCTTGTTTATTTTTTATTTTGAAATACAGTCTTGCTAAGTCCCTGAGCTGCCCAGGGTAGGCTCAGACTTGTGGTCTTTCTGCCTCAGCCTCCCAGAGGGCGGGGATTATAGGGATGCACCACCACGCGAGGCTGAAAAAATTCTTGTAATGAATTAAATTATTTGCAGAACCCTATGAGCATCAGTTGAGACGCTCAGAAAGTGGAAACGGTTACCCAGACTGAATTATAAGTGATACGTCAATTAATAATGGTGCTGTTGGCTAACATGCTGTCCTTACCATGTGCCGGATTCTAAGTGTTTACATTAGAGTGCATGCTAAGTAATCTCTCTGTGCTCCTGAGAGCCCCGCTAGGTAGACAGTATTTCCCGCATTTTGCGAGTGAGGATAGAAAGCACAGAGCGGCTCTCACTCGGCATCACAGTGCCAACCTGGGACTTACTGAGGCAGTCTGACCCGAGTTCATGCTCTAAAACAAGGCCCTAACCTGCTCCTCCAAGGACCAATGTAGCAAAAGCCATGGGGGTCTCAGAACTTTCTTTTGTTGTATGGAATTCTATTTTCAGATTTTTTTTTTTTTTTGGTTTTCTTAGAGTTTCACTGTGTAATTCAGGGCTGGCCACGAGCTCACGGCGATCCTCCTGCCTCAGCCTCCTAAGTGCTGGGATTACCGGCATGTGCCACCATGCCTGGCTTGGATTCTGTTTTCATGTTTGTGATGGAAGGTAGTGATGACAAAGTGCTGGTGTCATAAGTTTTTGTGGCAAGTTTTACGAACCTCTGTGACCTATCAGTCAGGTGAAAAGAGTAATTCATTTGGAAACTGAGACCAGACAGGGCTTTACCTTGAAGGTGTTGTGTAGGGCAAGGGTTCTCGGAGGGACCCTCCACCTCTCTTTGGTCCTTGCCCCCACTCCAGGAAGAATGGAGAAATGGATCTCTAAGCAGGAAATGGTCAGGACTGATAGAGAGTGAAGTGACAGTTTATTTAAAGTGTGGTAAATGCAGAGAAAGCAGAAGAGAAGTGATCTTCGCAGCAGAGCAGGGCTGCAAGGCAGGGGTGTTATGTTTGTTTGGGGTTTTTCCAAGGGGAACAATATAATACGGGACACAAATTTTATAAGATTTTTATAATTGCTACCCAAAGAATCATATACAAGAGAGTGCAGGAAATCTGTCCACACACTAAAGACCCAAGAATTCAGCTGAGGACCTGGATCCTGCAATAATGTCCTGCATGTTCAGCTGGGGACCTAGAGCCCATGACAACGTCTCATGCAGGCCTGTTTCAAGGATCTGCTACGAAGGCCCAAAGGTCGGTGGTGGAATGTAGAAAGTCTGTGCCAGCAGGACGAAGGATCTGTGCTAGCAGGCTGAG